AATTTAAATAGAATTATTAAATAATATTTTATAATCTTTATTTATTAATTAAGTATAATATTTATATTAATATAAAGATTTATATTAATATTAAAGCTTATAAATATATTTTTAAATATATTTATAAGAGTAATAATTAAGCTAGTTTTTAAATAGAGTATAAAGATAATATAAATTAAAACGATATAAGATTAAATTAGATAAATAAGATTTAAAAATATTAAGATATATAGTAAGTAAGCTTTATAAAAGTTTATTAAAGAATTTTTAGCTTTAAATTATATAATTATAATTCTTTTATTAAATAATTATTTATTTATCTTTTAAATTAATATAATATAATATTTAATAATAATAATAATCTATTTTAAATAGTAAATATAGAATATAAACGTTAAATTAAGTTAATAGTCTTTTTTTAACTAAATTAATAATGTTAATAAAGAAAATAAATAAAAGATTTTTTTTATATTAATTTATTAATATAATATATCTAAGAAAAATAATAAGTAAGATATATTTAAATAAAGTCTACGTTAAAGGCGTATAGAGATATTATTATAAGAATATATTATATTAATTTAAATATTAGAAAGCTCTTTTATTTATATTTTTTTTTAAATATATTAAATTCTATATTTTTTAAAGACTTATATATAATAGATAATAATATCTTTTCTTTTTATTATAATATTTATATAATAAGAGACTTACTTTATAATAATATTAAATAAAATTAAGTATTAAATAAAGTAGCGATTTAAAAGAGAGAATATTACTTATAAGATCTTTTTATAATAATTCTATTATAATATAAACTCGATAACTCTTTAAATTTATAAAATAATTATAAATTAAAATATATAGATAATTTCTTTTTTATTAAATAGAAATACTTTAAATATAATATAAATAGCTTATCGCGTTAATAATAATATTAAAATATTATAACTTTTTTTAATATAATATTTCTTTTTTTATATATTAAAACTTTTCGCGTTAGATATATTTTTTTTTAATAATTTTTTTAATAAATTAAAGTATTTTAAGTTATAGAATAAGAAGATTATCGCGCTAATAATAATTTTAAAATATCGCGACTTTTTTTAATATAATATTCTTTTTTTAGCTATTAAAACTTTTCGCGTTAGATATATTTTTTCTTTTTTTATTTATAAATAATTTAATTTTTCTTTTATACTTTATATATATTTCTTAATTAATACTTATTATTCTTTATTTAAATTATCTAATAATTTTATTTATATTCTTTAAACTTAGTATTATATTTTTTCTCTATTAAATAATATATAATATAAATAAATTATTATTAAAAACTTTTATTTTTATTTAATTTAAATTTATTTAAAGAAAAATAATATTAGCTCTATAAAGAATATTAGTCTTATTATTAATTTTAATTTATTTATAATTTAATAAAATTATAAATAGTATTATATTAATAATTAAAATTAACTTTTATATAAAGTATATAGCTATTAAACTAATATCTAGAATTAGATATAAATAAATTTTAATAATAATTAAATTATTATAGCTAACGCTATTTAAAATATAATCTCTTATTTTAATAGCTAACTCTTTTTTCTCGATAACTATAAAGATATTAATAAAATTATACTTTAGAATATTATATTACGAAGAATATAAAATAACTCTAAAATAGCTATTATTATAATTTTATCTAATATTATCTTTATTCTTTTTTAAGATAATATTATCGCTTATTCTCGCTTTAAGATTTCTCTTAATATTATTATTTAATTTAATTATAATATATTAATAAAGTTTAATTTAGCTTAATTATTAAAGGCGATTAAGCTTATTTTCTAAAATAAAGTTTTTATATAAAATCGCTATAATATTAAGATTATCGATTATATACTTTAAGATATTTAAAAGAATTCTACTTCTTTTAATAATATAATTATATACTTCTATAATAACTTTTATTAAATTCTTTTAATTATTAAGAGTATTAAGTTAGATTATATTACTTAAACTATATTAAAAATATTTTATTTTTAAAATTATATTTAAATTTTTAAATTAATAAAAAATATAAGACTTCGAAATCTTAATTTAATTAATTAAGATTAAACTAATATAGAGAAATTTATTTAAAAACTATTAGATATAGATAATAATATTTTAATAAACTTTAAAGAATAAGAAGCTATTAATTAATTTATTAGATAATTATTAAATAACTTTATTATTTAATTAATTAATATTATTTATAATAATTTTAACTTATATTAAATAGCTAATTTCTATATATTTAAAGTAATTCTTTATACTCTTAATAAGAATATTACTCGATTTAATAGTTAAGTTTTTAATAAGTTTTTTAAAATTAAGATTATTTATAATAATAGAGATTAAGTTATTAATAAAAAGAATAGCTTTCTTCTTTTTATTAAAATAATAAATATCTTTAAATTAATCTTACTTCTATTCTATTATTTAAAATTAAAATAAATTTATATAATAAATTTATTAAGAAATTTAAAGTAATATATAAATCTATATAATAGAATATATCTATAAATTAAATATATTAAAATTAAAATATTTAATTATTATATTCTTAAAGATAAATATAATAATAAATAATATTATATATTATATATTTCTCTAACTTCGTCTAATTTAAACGATTTATATACTTTCTTTTAATATATTTAATTTTTAATTTAATTAATCTTTAATATAATAATTAATAAGATTTAAAATTAATTATTATAATAGATTAATCTATATTTATACTTCGAGATCTTTATTTATAATTAATTATATATCGTCTTAAATCGAGTTATTAATAAGATTAATCTATTAATTATAATTTTAAACGATTTATTAAAAAAATAACTTACTCGACTAACGAGATATATTAAAAATAAGGTTATTAAATAAATACTTCTTTTTTAAATAAGAATATAATTAATTAGCGATTTATAGTAATAAAAGTAAATTAAATAAATTAAATACTATATAAAAAGTAAGTAAAGTTCGATTTAACTTAGAGTTAGAGCTTTTATCTTCTTTATTAATTTTATAATAGTAAAAGTAGATTAAAAACGTATAGTAAGCGATTAGAGTTCGATTTAACTTAGAGTTAAAGCTAAAATTTTATTTAACTTAGAAAAATTTAACTTTATAAATTTAATTTATAGATCTTTACTTATATATATATAATAAAAAAAATTTTTTATATTTATTTTTTTAATAAGATAGAGCTAAACTTAAAAACTAAATTTATATATATAGCCAATTATTAATTTATTAATTACGCTCTTTAATTAAATCATCGAAGTAAATAAATTAGCGTTCGAATTATTAAAACAAATAAATATATTATTAATATAGAATAACTTTTTATTTTCTATTAACTTTTAAGATTTTATTTTAAATTTTAGAACGTCGCTTTCGCTTTTTAAAATTTTAAAATTTATTTTAAATTTTTTTTCTATTAATTAGTTATTTAAAATAAGAATTAATATAACTTTGCTAAAAAATTCTAATAGTCTTACAGCTATTGCTAATAATATTCGCTCATCAAAGATCGCTCACCAAAATTTACTCGATAGCCCTTTAAAAGATTATAAATTTAATTCATAAACCTTTACTCGTTTTTATATTAAAATAATTATAATTTATAAACTTTAATATTACTTTAATTATAGATTACTTATTAAAAGATTTTAAATAAAGTAATAAAGTAAGAAGAAAGTAAGTTAAATAATTAAAAATTAAAAGTATTAATGAGTACTATTAAATTTAATCTATTAACTTTAATAATAAAATCTTTAGATTTTAATATTATTACTAAAAAGTATAGAATAAAGAAGAAGAAAAATCGAAAGAATTTTTTCGATTTTTTTTTCTCGCTAAGTTTTATATATGCTTCGCTCTAATTCTAATCTTATCGCTTATTTAATAGAAAAGTGCTTTACAATATGACTGATCCTTCGGCGCACTCTGTCGAAACCCACAGATACTACCGTATCAAAACAGGCCGTATTGCATGACCGCCTCGACACTCTCAGCCGGGGAATTGCGTTTCCCTCTTTCCGGGCAGACTGGCCCTTTCATTATGAGAGACCTCGAAGCCGACTATTACTTACTTGTTGGGTGGGGAGACGTCGAAGGTGTTACGCACGGCGGGGGCTCTTGAACGGGATGAATATATTTCGCAAGAGATACGGCTGTGCCGAAAAATAGAACAGATCTACAAACGGTCGTCACATCCCTAATCATCACTTGTTTCTGCGTCTGGACGCAATTGTCCTGGTAAGAAGCTCACATCACAGAAACGGTGCTATCAATCGTTCTTGTTGGTTTAAGTGGCAGCTTTCGCTCCACAACAGTGCAGATAATTGGGAGCATGTCTTTAACCCGTCACACTCGAACATTAACGCTATCTGAGCGTACGCGAAAGCATAGGCAGAGTACTGTTAGTCGCCTTTTATTAGTTTACATCCACCTCGACTTAAGAAATCTTCATCATACATCGCGTTTCAAATATTCATCGCTCTCTCCTTGACAGAGGAGGTGATCTTGCAAGTTCATTACGAATACGAACTTACTAACAATACATGGTGGCCATTATGAGTAGTCCGCAAGGCTGCACCCACACTTTTAACCAAAATATTGATTCGGTTTGATTCGGTAGTCCGACTATCCTACGTGCTTCGACCGCAATGAACCTTTTAAATCGAATTCTGTTCTTCTAGCCTAATAGGTGTACGAGCAAGATCCCTCTATCAATACTAATTCGCTTCACCTTCATTCCAGCTGTATGTACCAACAGAACAAAACAGTCTTGCATTGAGGGCCCATCGAACACATACAATGTAGCAGTCATCAGCGCCCGACGCTTATACACAGTGCTAAGGAGCGTAGCCGATTGTCTACGCATTGTTGGAAGTGCGCGTATATATTTCCTTGGCTCTGGCCTCGCCGTCTGGAGGAAACCGTTAACGCAGGGCCAATCGGTCAGCGTCACTGAAAAACTTAGCAAACATATCGTAAAGAGTGGGGAGAGGATGACATACAGCTGCATGCAACTCAAAGGGATCACGGAAGGCGTGGGTGCTGCTGGAGAGACTGTAGGAGTCTGAGACGTAGCGGCACATTCTTCAAGTAAAGTGGGTACAGATGTAGGTAGTCCTGCATGCAGTAGTGGAACAAGCGTAGACGTAGCTTGAGTTGTATTGGAACTGCTGCCACGTCCACCTTCTCCAGTGCGTGATGGAATAGAAGATGTGCGTAGTTGTGCAGCTTGAAGGGCGCCAGGAGATCGGTCCGCTGTTGCTGATGGCTCATTGACAATTGCGCCTGTGAGGTCCTGGACATTCTGGGTCTTCGCACCGGCTGTTATGGGGGATCTACTGGTTGAGGTAACATTCATGGGGCTGCCGGTCATGTTTGTCCACTGGGAAGCCAGCTGCGGTGCTTGGCCAGACGGACTAGTTCCAAATGAAGTCGTTGTCGAAGAGCCATCTGATGAATCGGCGAGCTCGTGAGCGCGGTATCTGACGTTAGGTGGGGTCTGCTGATGAGGATGTTGTAAATTCCATGCGTGCTCCGTGACAATGCGACTATCTGCTTCCTGGGGACTTGGTGTGGTCGCCTTCGCGTCCTGCGAATCGGGTATCTCAGGCGAGTTCAGAATCTCCCGCCCAAACCGAGGATTTTTAGACCGAGGATGGTAGGATTGTGACGTTTTGGAGGTCAAGTCCCGAGGGCTTTGATCTTCCATCTCGTGCGCTTGCGCAGTGAGCAGAGGATCAGCAATTGTGTGGAGCGGTCGGGGAGTCAGCACCTCGCCGGTCTTCTTATCCACAAATTCTCCAGGCTTCAGCGCCCATGTTTGCTTTCCATTAATGATTTCACCTTTGCAGAAAGCCTCATGGAAGTAGAGAGGGTTTTTCAGACCAGACTTCAATACCTTATCCTGTGATGAAGCGTTGAAGAACGGGAACCGATCTTTGATGCCTTGCACGAGCTGAGGGAACGTCAATGGAGTCTCGGAAGTTGCGAGGACCTCATACACAATAGCGTTCCATGACAACTTTGGCCTCTCAAGCTGCTCTAAAATCATCGCAGTGGATGTAGATGTTGACCTACTAGGATGATCAGGCATCAAGGTCGATCTGTTCGAAGTCGACGAAGCGGACGTTGAAGTTGATATCTGCTCTGTTTCTCGTGCGAATACTATGTCACCTGCCTCGATCTGCTCCGGTGTGGTAATCTCACGGGTGTTTTCTTTAGGCCCGGGCAGTCTAGTATAGTCTACGGCGTTGCGTGCTCGGCCTGACTTCCGAACATTGTTTCCTGAAGGGGGTCCGACGGTATGACCAGAGTCTCCTGCACCCTCTTCCGACGTCATCTTGGCGTATGCGCGACGAGTAGTTCGCCCTTCGAAGTCCGCGGTTTTCTCGGCTAAACTCAAATACTCCGGTACCTTTTCCTCGTCGGTGACATACTCCCAATTCCCAGCGTAAATACCCACGCCTTTTCGCCTGGACGGCTGCTCTAATTTACGAGGATTTAGTTAGTAACAGAAGTTCATCCGTAACAAATAGAATCTCAGACATCCTGAAAACGTAAAGAGGATCTGTGGGTACAATGATCACGCCTGGAGACTTACCTTTAGCTTCTGAGTCAGATCTTGGCCTCGGGGTCATCGGTGATTCTCTAGCTATATTCGAAGTTGGAGCAACTTCGTTTGACTTCGCGCCAAATGACGCCTTCGTGGTGATCGCAGCTGATCGTTGAGCTGAAATCGTACGAGCCTGGTGCTGATCTGAACGCGGAAGAGAAGTACGGTCGTTCTGTCTTCTCCTCTTAGCTGTCTGCTTAGACACTGCAGCTGGACGTTTTGCCGGTATGGTTGGGGCAGGACGCCTAGGCGCCTGAGGTGTGCTGACACCCTGTCGGAAGGCCTCGTAGAACTTGGAATAGTTTTGCCCAAATGGTGCAACATACACCTCGTGAGTGGGGTAGATCTGCAGCAATACGTCAGCTCCTCTTCAAAGTACCAATCCTAGCTTCAGCTACCTTCTTTTTTTGAACTCTGTTTTTATCAGCAAGTCTGATCAAACGCCATTTTTCTACCATTCTATCACAGTCGTCATCTTTTCCATCAGTCTCTAGTTCATCAGTAGAAGAACTCGCTGATGTCGAGTTGTATGAATCGGTCGAGTCGTTTGATTCATGCGCAGGAGGTAATTCCACGCGCTGGCCGATGACAGAGGGCGGTTTATCGCCAGACTCTGGTTTACCTGAGCGCGACAGTGGCGGAGTGGATGAGTTGTCGGCTCCGAGGCCGTTGGCGATGACGTCCATGCTCATTTGCAAGGCAGCTTTACAGTTCGTCTCAGAGGGAGAAAGTGCCTCGATGGAAACGTCGCGAGGGGAAGTTGGCAGGATGTCAGTGGAGATGATGTCTATAGCTCGACAAGACGCGCGTTTGTGTGATAAACAAAGCGGAGCCAGGCGCGTAAGTCTGTGGATAGCACGCTTAGGATTTGAAAAGATGGAAGATGAATGATCTGCTCTTATACAGCGACGACATTCACTATGCTTCAAATCTGAATGAAAGATATGTGAACGATGGAAGAAAGTGGAATGATTTCAGCGAAAATTTTGCCTTTATTGACAACTAAGCAAATAGAGTAGCCTCACGGGAATTGCCGATCTCCCGGGTCAGTCTAACGCATAAGCGCTAGCTCTCCTCCAATCATAAAGTAGAAGTACGTCCAAATCTGATGTCACGGAAAGTCTTGGCGCTAAGCCTTGCATCCTCTCCGCCAAGTGGGAACAGACTCAGCAAAGCATTTGAAGTCTACAAGTTATACCCAACGTTATGAAGTCTATTGCGACTAAGCCTAAACAGTGACTTATGGCTAGATTTCATGGTTGAAGAAGACTATAAGACAAAGTATGCTGTGCGTATACTCCAATCCTATACTCGAGATTGCTTAGACATCAAATCCTTACATCCATACGATTCTGGTGGCGACTCTTGGCAACCAAGTTAGCTCCGAGGGGTGCTTCTCTTTATCGCCGGTGACTCACACTCAAGCGAGGCAATTGTCCGACAAACAACGAACCCGGATGGAGAGTTTGACCGCGAGATCGGTTACAAAGGCATTCAAAGGTAAGAGATGAGAACAGTGCTCATCGACTTGAAAATTGAATCACGGCCCCCATCTACACGTCATTTTCTATGGGCTCTCGGTGGGAGAGTCACGCCTCTATTCTGGTCCAGACGATTTGGACAATGGAACTTTCACACTAAACATTTGCTATTCGACTCTTAGCTTCTCCTTTCGCAAAGTTGACTCAGACATTTACCGTGTGCCCATGTCCCGGGATCGCCATTGCAGATACGAACCTAATGGGAGGAGCAGCGGGCATCACGGTCTAGGGAACGCGAATCTCTCGATCCAGCGATTGCTCAGTTGTTGGAGCTTCTGCTCTGCCTTACCCGATAATCTAGAATAGACCTTCAGCTGTTAGTTTGGGAGGGCTCATAGTTGCTGGGCTCAACGGTGAGGCTCCGACATTTAGTCCACAGTCTAGACTCGGGACAAACAACATAAGTTCTTTGGGAAGCAATGAGCCCTTACCCGCAAGCACGGCGAAGGTTGGCGTGCAATATTAGTGTGTTTGTCTGGTTTTGACAGTGCTATTGGCATGGAGAATTGTGGAGTAACGGGTCCAGGACGAGGCTGGCCGTACTTGACGGTAGAGTGTTCAATGTGGACGGGGTCCAAGAAGTCTAAGCAGTGAAAGCCTTGATCTATTACAGCACAATGTTTCAAACGAATCTGAAGCACTCCGGAGGGGAGTTTAGTTTTCAGTGCGGATCAAAGCCGAAGTCACTATGCATACATCGAAGCATGCCACGACCGTTGATTAACATTCGTCTTTAATTCACTGGCTAAGCTACCTTGTCTGTTTGTTTACCTTGCTCATCCATCCCAACCAAGTACCTCTGGACTGGAATTTGTAGACTATACTGTGTCCGGCTAAGAACATAGCAATGTGCATTTACCCAACATATTTCTCAAGAAATGCTCACGGCACAGAGCCAAATAGAATACATAAATTCAAATCCATCGTTCTCATCCTGCAGACCGGGCTGAGCACACCTCCAGGGCGCCCATACATTAAGTTTTCCCATCAAGCCCACCATGGCATTAATCTAAAGCTGACTTCACAACCTGCAGATAGTCACCCTCAGCTCCGGTGTTGTTCTTCGCTTCAGAGCCATCCCACAGCATAACACCACCAAAGTTTTTAACGCCTGCCATCATCGCACTTTTGATAACACTTGTCATATTGGCAGGCTCTAAATACCCTTTGCCAGCACAGGCTTCACAGGCTGGCGCGCCAATGTACAACTTAGGTCCTCCCCCGGCCACGGTACCGTTACCGCTCAAGTCACCAGACCAGGCTTTGAAAGAGTCCACGAAGCCAGGCTGTCCGATATCGCAACCAGCGGCGGCGTTGTTGTAGAACTGGACGAAGACGAAATCCATCGTCTGCATTGAACCTAGTGGGATGGAAGCGTCGGGGCGAGGACACTGCGGTGCACCAGATATGTAGTACTGCTTACTCTTGTCACCCGCGTAGGTATTGCGGAGGGATGATACAAAAGTATCGTAGTATTTTGTGCTGTGGTCTTCGTTATCGACATCAAAGCCGTCAACCTTGACGGAACCGAAAGGCCTCAAATCGGAGTTGGTCATTCCGCCACCGAAGAGGTTCCAAAGGTCAGTCGCGAAGCTGGTGGCTTGCGCATCGCTAGTGAAATTTGTGACACCAGCGGCACCTCCTAGACTCAACAAGACTTTCTTGCCAAGACTTTGGCAGGTAGTGATGTTCTTGGCTAGATATGGACAGTCTAACAGGCCGGTAGCGTTGATCTTTTGGGCTCCAAGCGTGGGAGTGCCTCCGGTGGCTGGCCCAAAATTGATGACTGGTTGTCCTGCAGGGCCAAAGAAGGTAGTGAGGAAAGCAAGGACAACTATGTCAACGTTTTGGTCTTGACACATTTGCTCCAGGGTAAATTGGTCGGTAGCGGGTGATTGGCCGTAGTAGACTGCAAGGTTGCTTGAGGACTGAGCGCTGAACGAGCCATTAGTACTACTATTCGCCACAACAGCGTATGGAGCTGCGGCTGTTGAGCTGGCTGCAGGTGTAGCTGCGGCCGCAGGTGTGAGTGCGGCTGCTGGAGCATTGGTACTGTTGGCGTATTTGCTGAGGAAGATATTTATCCACATATCGTAGGCTAGAACATCTTGGTTCAGCTGGGCTGTCTGGGGATCTGTCGAGTTGGCTGACGAAAGGTAAGCTGTCATCCAACCATGAAAGGTATTGTATTCGGACTGTAGCATTTGCAGTTCTGCGAGCGGGACTTCGACAAAACCAGCAGGGGCTTGCCTGCGGCTGTTGTGTATTTGGGGTTCTCGGCGATTAGCTTCTGCATGGCCGGCCGATGCAAGAAGGCTGATAGCGCCCAACGCAAGTATAGGGGTTGAAGAGTAGAACATAGTAAAAGGTGTGTTGGGGGAAGTAGGCGTATTCGGTGATCGGCGAAAGAGAAGGATGAAATGATGGATGAGTATAGAGTGGTAAGGAGAGGGAAGGTTGAGAGTAAGGTATGTTTGAGACAAATGAATCCTGAGACAATGAATAACAGAATGGTTAAGAACAAGGTGGCTCTTGATTTACGTTGTTCCCGATCATGAAAGATTTTCTCTCTAAGTGAGTTGACTGGTCAACGTCGCAGCTTGCTTTGTGCGCCCTTGTTTGTGCGCCCTTGTTTCATCGTGAAAGAGATGGCTTTGACCATTTGCTTTCTCGCGAGACATTTCGTAAGTTCGACAACAATAAACGGAGTCTTGACTTTCTTTTGACTGAGCGAATTAGAGCTCACCATACTGTCATACCTCACTGGTTCAAGAAAAAAAGATTTGGAACGGGTTCCAAGTTTCACACGGATAATGTTTCAGATTATGTGTGTTTCATACATTGACCCCAGGAATAACTTTTGCACACTATCAGTGATAGGTATCCCACATCCAAGTTTCTTTTTCTACTAACTATCTTTTTTAGGGTGGAGCGGAAAGGTCGATATCTGAATACCCACAATTGCTGTCGCAGGTTTAGCACCTTCTAGTGATAAGTGACATTCCTATCCCCAAGACAGACTCCATACCACGGGAACTCTGCTCCATCCATTAAATGATACTCACGCCCTCAGTAATGTCTCCATGCTCAGTTTTGATTTTGTTGGTGTCTATGACCCACATAAGTAACAGTAAGAAACCCAAGTCCTTGGAAACCTTGGTAAAGGGAAAGATACCATCATGCCACCAATTCGATCTGTATCGGCTCTTTCGACTAAGGACATCTCAAGCGTTACTATAACGGAGCTCGGCTAGTATGTTACGACTCCGGTAGACCAGAATTGTAAGGTGAGCGCAGTTTGGGTCTCCATAGTCAGACTATGAAATCGAGACTCTGTTGAGGCTTTCTGCTGTCCGCCAGCGTTTATGCCACACACAGTCTTCCTCTCATGTCTACGTGGTTGCGGTTTCATGTAATGCTTCTATCGAGATCCGAAAGTTTCATGCATAGCATAACATAAAATCCAAATAATGCACAATCTCAACCTTTTGGCTCATGTCTACGCATCAGATCTGAACTGACCAGCGATCAAGGGTGTCAGGAGGCGCTTGCGATATTAACTGCATCGCTACCGCAATCTACGGTAGCTATGGTGATGGGGTCTAACCTCGTGATATGGTTGACGCTCGTCAAGTGAGCCGTGAGGAGCTCCGCACGAACATGCTCACAACACTGCGCGGGGACTTAGGGAAAAGGTTGCTAAGCATGAGGAGATCCAACCTCAGATATTCGTGCATGAAAAGATAGGTGTTGGCTTAAGGCAGCTGTGGGCGATTGCTGCGAACGCAGCGGACGACAGCTCTTCGTGCCGCCATATGATTAGTCGGACTCTCATATTCTCGGCTGCTGGCTGATGATCACGATGGATATCAGGGGCGGTTATGGCACATTGCTAGACTAATCCAGATATATGTACGAGACGCACGAATCGGAAGACTTTGCAAGTAATGCAGGCCGCTGCTGACTGCGCCATGCCAAGATTTTCCGTCTCATGGCATGCTTCTAATCAAGTTGCTAGTCGACCACACCTCGTTGGCTCGTTATTCCATCTCCCTTTCGATGTACGATTATTCCGCAAAGACAAAGACAAGGCCTTCTGTCGAATAGTTTCTTGATTGAACATGGGAGGAAAAGCTGAGAAAGATGGCCCCTTTATGATAGATATCGGCACCGAAAACCCAGGACGCCAAGACTTCTGCGCCACACTTGCTACGCCAACATTTAAAATACCCCAGGTGAAAAGTTACATGTAAGGCACGGTTACCTCGACAATAAAGTAGTATCCTGGACAATGCGTTTAGAGCCGCTTCGGAATTGTACCCGGCTCAAGCCCCACTTGGGGTTCAATGCTTCTATGAGGCCCAAAAGACCTTTCTAAGTTCAATTTGTACGCTTGCAAACAAACATTCCAGGGTGCTCGGCTCCAGGGTCGTCTTCCGAACGAAAGACTAGCGCTGCTACTAGCGCTGCTCAGGATTTTGCGTAGTAGAGTACTTTAGTCGCGCAGTTTCGCAAGAATTAACGACCGAGAGGCCTTTTCGACTTGCCCCAGACAAGACCCGGCTCACGGAGATGACGTAATACTTTGAATCTCGAGGCTTGGCGCGTAAAGCGCACGCACACCTACTGCGGTGCTTTCCGACTCGTCGTGTTGTTCCTGTATTGTATCGTACATCCAGCCTACATAGGTCTTTCGAATCCGTTTATACGCTCCATACAACAATGCGATGTACCGCGAAAGACATAATGTGGGCTGTGCTTTGACATGATGAGCGTTTGGCAATAAAAATATCTGTCGTCTGACTTGCATGAACAATGCGGGCTTCGGCTGTGACTAACATGGCTTACTGTTGCTTTGGCGAACCAAGAGCAGAGCTCCATCAAGCCGCTGCACTCGGTACTACACTTCTCCTTGTCCTCGAACAGCTATCGAACATTGACAGAATAAGATCCACTGCTCAGATTCTCCGTCATTGACCCCAACAGCTGAAATTTCGTGCTTACGAGAAAAACATGCAGAAGATCCCTTGCCCGCTTGGATCCGGCCTTTCCCACCTCTTAGCCATGTTCCTCGGGCACAGGCCGCTTACGTTGTGATGAAGCGGCGCATCCGTATAGTAATCTGTGATGACCGGATTGTACGCCGAGAGACGGGCACCAAAATCTTACATGCTTTGGCCCTCGTGATAGTTTTCTTGACAGCAGAGCTGCAGTATGAGCTATTTTGGCTTTCCCGACCAGCCAACTGTAACACTGCAGTACTTGCTCAGCCCAGCGCCTTCTGGTTTACATATAAGAAGGCCCCCCCGATGCTTCGCTAAGGATTCCAACTATATACCATTCTCCATCTGCGACTGGTCTTCCTCTATAAACTTTGTGGCTTTCTCAAAATTCCAACTCGTGACTTCCACAGTTGACAGCCGTCCTTCAGCCTTCGACATGACGTCTTCCACTCCTGCTCCTCTAGATCTCAACAATGTCCAAGGTGACATCTTGTGAGTCTAAACCTGAAGCCAGAAATGAGTACCGTTCCGGCCAAACTCACTTTCACAGGGCGGGTCTTCCCAAGAAGACTCAGACTTATTTTTTCTTTCTCATCGACGAATCTCGCGTCCAAGCGTTCCGTAGACAACTGGCCACTTTGATCCCTCTTATCACCACGACCGCGCAGGTTTTCAGCCATCATGAGAAAATATCTCAGAACAAGAAAGACGCAGTGGGACGTGGAGTTTCTCCGTCGCTTTTGAAGATCAGCGGAGTCAACATAGTGTTCAGTCAAAAGGGACTGGTGAAGGTGGGCCAAACTGCTTGGCATGCCATATGTTTGAAGCCTTGCTAATTTGGACTCCTATCTTCGCAGATGGGGATCAACGACAACATTGGGGATGACGTCTTTCGCAAAGGGATGCTCGCTGATGCACCAACTCTCGGTGACCCAGGAACGGCAACTTCAGACAGTCCGGACTGGGTCCCTGCTTTCAAGCAGGGTGTTGATGGCATGATCCTGGTCTCAGGCGAAAGCCACCAAACAGTCGCCGAAACATTAGCTGAGATCGAAAGGATTTTCTTCGTTGGAGCACATTGCGCCACCATTCATGAAGCGCTCCGCATTGTCGGAGATGTCCGGCCGGGAAAAGAAAAGGGTCATGAGCAGTTCGTATCTCTACTAGAGTCGCAAGACCTTTCAAACGCTGATATCTTATCATAGCTTTGGCTTTCTGGACGGCATCTCGCAGCCTGCAGTCCGTGGTGTCAATGCCACAAACAATCCTGGGCAGGAGTTTGTACGCCAAGGAATAACACTCCTCGGCCGCGAAGGCGATGATAAATTCAATGCCGCTTTTGTGGACCAGGGACCCAATACTCGACCATCCTGGGCACTGGATGGGAGCTTTCTTGCTTTTCGCTATCTCTTTCAACTTGTCCCTGAATTCCAAACATTTCTGAAGCGGAATCCTATCGCTGGTTTAGCTCCTGATCTTGGCAGTGAACTCCTCGGGGCCCGCTTCGTCGGTCGTTGGATGAGCGGTATGTTGGCCTGTGCCTTTTTTGCGAGCCTTGTCGCTTATGCTAATGGTGGCGATGGCGCACAGGAGCACCTGTCGATATTGCACCAACGCATGATGACCCGGCCCTCGGGAAAGACGCCTCTCGCAACAACAACTTCCGCTACGCTTTTCCAGACGACTCAAAGACGCAAGATAGATGCCCCTTCGCAGCGCACACACGGAAGACAAACCCTCGAGCCGACATTGAGGATCTCAACGCAACTACCGCGAACGCTAACGAGAAACACCGTATCTTTCGTCGCGGTGTCCAGTTCGGACCAGAAGTTACTGCAGCTGAAGCTGCATCCGGAAAGACTGTCCACGGGCGTGGCCTCCTCTTCGCAGCATACCAGAGCAACATTCACTTCGGGTTCCAATTTCTGCAAAACAGTAACTTACCATCCGTACAAGTCTTTGTTGACAATCGGCTAACGGTTGTTAGATTGGTCGAACACGGCCAACTTTCCTCCCAAGACGGGACCGACGGGGGCTGCAGTGATTTCAGGACTCGACCCTCTCATCGGTCAGAATGCTGCAGGAGCTCGTTCGATGATAGGCGCCAACCCACAGAGCCAAAGTACCTCACTCACTCTGCCCACATGGGTAGTGCCGAAAGGAGGCGAGTATTTCTTCTCGCCCTCCATCCCTGCTCTCAAGGCCACCTTCGCTTTGGCCTAAGGGATACTAGCGGCCGCAAGGAGGTCTGTGATTTAAGGAGAAGAGGAGTACATGTGGGATGGGTGCAAGTGTAACTATATCTCGAAGCCTAGGAAAAATAACTTTTGCGGTTATTCTCGCAGAGCATGTTACCTAGCACGATAGTCGCCAATTTAAAATGAACACTTTGCCTTTGCGAACTTTCTTACAATCCATTCAATCAAGTTTGACATCTAAGCGCTCAACTACTCCACCACAGAAGCTACATGAGAGCACCGCAGCTCCCGAATACTTTGCAATGCTTCCTAAGAATGCTCCCTCGGAGCCTAAGCTCGTCTCAGCTTTGCGGCATGTTAGTGAAGAGCCGCTGCGATGATAGCTATCAAAACTGGCAGACCCTGCTCTCCCTCATTTTTCTCATGTTAAGATTTCAGCTAGAGCTGATGGTGTATGAGCTAGTCAAGAATGTAGCACTACCGGTGACTGCCTCTGTCCCCGCCTGTACACTCTGCAGCAGCATTCCAGACAATCCACTCTCGAATTTCTCCAGGTAGGTAGACCCGTTAGCGACGAAAAAGCTATAGACCGTTGCTCCCGTCCCAGTGTTCAGACCGCTGAACAGATTGACCGTGATGGCATCGCTAATTATGGTGCCAATCGGAGTTGCGGAACCGCCGTCGTCTGGGGAGCCGATTGGACCTACGGCATTTCAGGAGCTAGCGCAGCTTCTGTGGCGGCATCTCGAGAGCCGCTATGTGCCGAGACCGCCGTAAGCTCCTAGCCAAATCATGACTTCGATGGGATAGATAGGGCCAGGAGCGACACATTCAGAGCCGCCGAAGAAGGCGTCATAGGCTACGTCGGCTACGATGGCGGGTTGCGATTCGTCGTAGCTATTCGGTCCCATCGTCAGTGTGTGTTTTTGCCTTGCGAAAGTGATCAAGGGGGAGATTTGAGGACAAGCTTAGGGCAAGCTTAGCGCCAGCTAGCTTACCTCCATGTCTAACTCGTGGGGCTGGTCTTGTACTCTTTCAGCGCCTGACACGCGATAGATGGGTCGTAGGCATTTGCGTAGCTTTTGATATAGTTCTCTCCCGAACTGTTTGGTGCGGTGTTCTCCCACGACCAACTAGTGCTCCACGCGACTGGGTTGCCGCCGGATGCAGAACCGAGGCATTGAGATCCGGTTCCGCTAGCCATGCCCCAGAGATTGTTGTTGATACTGAGAAGAGGAGTTCATGTCAGCTTCAGCTTCTTGGCACGTTCTGTGGTGCTGTACAATCTTGACTTCCAAGAGAAATTTTCAGAAGTGTCTCAAGGTTCGATAAATCGTCCGGTCTTTGAATACATATGTGAAAGGCCCAGAGTATAGTAAGGAATCCTGGCCGGAACTTGCGCTGCAACTACCCGAGGCGGAAGAAGTGCTGCTGCTTGATGGAGAAGTTGCAGCAACGGAAGGACCGGCCACCACTGGAGTTAGTGAAGTATCGGCCAGGGTGTTATGAGTGGAAGTTGCGATCTTAATTGTCGAGGTAGTACGGGGGACTGGGCAGGCCCCCAAGGGCCCCATTGACCAGGGTTGGGATGATTATGGGAAACAGCTAGTGCTAAAAGAGACGCTACCAGCGTAAGGAGCAGTATGTTTGATGGGTGCATGTTGACTGAACTATCCTGAAGAATGTCTCTTTAAAAGGGAATTGTATAAACCGAAGGAGTGTGGTGCGCAATCAATTCGCGAAGGAGTGAGCGAACTGCTGGAAAAGAGCGACGAAACAAAAATCCTCGGCAAAAGAACATATTTCTGTCCATTTTAAAGGTCAGGAAGGATCTTTATGTGCTACGGCAGCAAGAGGAGATGAACGCGTGTCAAGTTTAGGGTAAATTACAAATTCATACCCCAAAACCTTGGATCCTTACAAATCATATAATTACATTTCATACCCCTCCACCAAATCTTGGGGTATGAAAATGTAATTCCATTCTTTGGGGTATGAATTTGTAATTTATTAAAATTTGGCCTTTGAGTGTCCGGCGTTTAACGTCCCTAAAGAAGCCCCGGAAGCATTAAACAGCCCCTAGAAAATTGAACCCTAAAGTTATCGCGGATGGGGTGAGTTGGGGATTAAACCCCGGAGCGAGGTTTTGACGAGTTACACGGCGAACCCTAGAGGTCTTCAGTTCGGGTTCCCGAGGCCGGTCCGGGCTAATTTCGCAACCCCCGAAGACCTAACCTCAGCGCACTATGGTAAATTACATTTTCATACCCCAAGGAATGGCAAAACCGATTCATACCCCATTGGGGTATGAAAATGTAATTAGGGTGAATTTGTAAGGATCCAAGGTTTTGGGGTATGAATTTGTAATTTACCTGTCAAGTTTAATACATAAAAAATGATTAGCATTGTTTACACTTTGCAACAAGATCGATCAGAGAATGTGAAACAATGAGATGGACGGAACCACCGAAACAATATATGAATGCGGAGAAGGAACGGTGAAGTCTTGTTTATGCGCTTTGCGGGGTCACTAGGGCGCTGAAACACATCGTAGGATAGATCAGCTCCCGTATTGCGGTCATACCATATCGTCAGATATTCGAATATTTCGCGTCTAGAGGGAGTATGATTCTGCCAACATCAACGGCGTTAAAATGTTGAGGAGTGGAATTGGCGGAGTGATTGGAGGAATCATAGCGTCGAAGATTATCTTGCTTACTCAGCGGATCTCACCCAATCAGATTTCTCAGTGCCAGAGCTCGTTTTTTGACTCTGTCGCACCAGGGAGACCTCCACGATTCGTTCCAGGGGATCCCCAGCGGTCGAAACGGGCCATCTGCTAGAGCTTCAACGTCGAGGCAAAATTGCCGATCGTACCCAAAAGGTCGTTTGCGAGCTTTTCGTTCCCTCCTGGAAAAGATGAAGATGGACAGGAAGCTGCCATCGAACGACATAGGGAGGTGAGTGGGCTGTCGAGTTGGTATCAAGCAGCAGAGCAGCCAATGGATGTCCGTCTCTGGGTACGAAAGAGAGCGAGAGAGAGGTTAAAGAGCTAAGCCTAGCATCGTGAAAGGATGCGCGCGGCCAAGGCGCTCCACCAATTTAAGGATGCAATAGTGAAGGTCTCAACTAGAGTAAGCTGGTAGAAAATTGACATGGCTGGAGGATAGCAGAGCATTCGTTACGAAATGGAGCACGAGAGCAAGGACTGGGAGGCAAGGAACATTCTTGTGGATTCGAAGCTTTTGCATCCAACCAGCCCTGCAACACATCGCGGCGTGATGTATCCTTATCCGCCATTTTCGATCTAAGGCTTCCCATCACTCAACCAATATGTTCCCGAGATGATTATCCCTTCTAGTTGTTCTTTCCTGGTTTTGATGGTGTATCCACACTCCCATTGTGTTTCGCAATGAGATTGCAGTCGTGTTAATCGGGCTTACACTGAATGGTCGCCAGAATCGCTGAGTCTCTTTTGGCTCTATTTACGGCAGAAATTCGAACCCGTTCCGGCGCCTGCTCGGCCAGCATTCTGGCAATGCGTACGCGAAGTAAAACAGTCGAATGGGCTGGTTTTTTACAAGGGAAACGCAGTATCGAAATACCGCCTCGACCCATTCGTGGCCCCACTATTCGCTTCGCTCATACATATCACGCAGGCAGAAAACACCTGCCCGTGTAACCCATCGCTAACAACAATTGACCTTTACAAGGCATATATGGTTGACCGTACATATTTGGCCTAGCAATAAGCACAGCTACTACTGCCCATTGCGGAAACAAACATTCACTACATCTCGGCGCCTATTCCCTCGGTCATCGCAAGTAACAATCCTTCTTCGCTTCACAAGGGGTTTGTGGCTTTCTTTGTGTTCGATTACTTTGGGAATTGCGGTTTAACGCGAAAGTTGGCTGTACTTCCTGTTTACGATGAGCCCATCGCCGATCCCTCGCATTGTCTGCACGATGTAGATACGGCAGCTTATGGGAGTCTTTAGACTCTAGATAGCGCGTGAGCGATAGAGACTGGCATATACGTTACGCGCACAAGCGAAGCCGCCAGTCAACCATGGGAAACGGGCTTCCTCAATGTTAGCTGCCAAAGATGGGCCAAGCGCCGAATAAGTTGATGGCGTCTCAAAGCTACTCCTGCTTGGTGGCGCTACCGCCGTGTGAGTACTAGATTCTCATTAATTTTCGGCGACCGTATCAAGGTATCAGTCTTCGAGTCTCAGTATCCTGATATTCTTCGTCAAAGAACGTGCTGGGCCTTGGGTTCGCTGGTGCCGAGGCACTGCTAAGCTCAGAATACGTTTTTCTGCTCCTGGTCACAACGATAGTAATTTATTGGTACTTGCCGATGTCTCTCTACCTTCATTGTGAGGCCGTTGTCCAATTTGTCTACGATCGCAGACTCGTGGTGATACTAGACGATAAGCATTGCTTTGTGTCTAAGGTAGGCAAGAAAGCATCGAAGCAGCGCTCTGAAGTCAGACAAATGTTCCCTCGCAGATGGTAATGCTTTGTACTTAGTCGTCTGAGCTTCACAGTCTGATAATTCCCAGGGAGGAGCCTTTGGATAGGCGCCAACCCTGCGCCGTAGTCATAGCGCCCTCCAATATCCATTTATTCCCTAAACCTTGGCCGTGATGGTAGCCGCAGGAGCACTAGCTGGTGGTAAATTCTTCACCGACCCCCTCGCAATAACAACCTCGGGCTGCATCCAGACATCAATCACGACATCGAAATTGTATTCCACCATACTGCTCACGTTTTGCTGATTCGAGTAATCGAAGCCCAGCAGGGACAGCGTCTCCACAATCCGACTATTTGTCAACACGAAATCCGCCGTCTGGTTACCCGTGGCTGACAGCTCGAACTCGACGTTGAAGTTCGGCAATCGAGACGAGACGCTGTGGTGGAAAGAATTGGAGAGGGCTAGAGGTTCGCGGCCGAAGGTGATGTAGGCGGTGAAGAGGGCTTGGATGAGGACTTGACCAACGGCTTGTGGGAGGATTGAGGCAGTCAGGGGATGGATGTGGATGCCGATTGATTTGGCCCCGTCTGCCGGAACAACGGTTGGGATGAGATCGGGTTGTGCGATTGCGTTGGCACTTGGACAATGTCAGTTCCCATCAATGCAGTGTATGGTAGTAGGAATTGGCTGAATTAGATACCGTGGTTCACGCTGTTTCTGAGCATTTGATAGCGAGGAGCGCTCTGTCAGGCCCCTACGAGGTAAGTGGGCACCAAGTACGCACTGCGAGCATAGTAGAGCGCACAACAGGAACCACGAGGGAGCTTTAGATAGAAACATCTTGAAACGATTCAAGATTTCGAGATACACAAATGGTTCACATATGTTCCTCTCGTGGGATCACAGCTTTCATGCAAGCGTGGAGGTTTGCTCGCAATATAAAAACCCAGTGGAAGTGTACTTCGGAGCCAGCTCCTGGTAAAAGGTTGACGTTTGGGCCTAGGGGAATTTTGCGCTTGCCGATGCGCAATGATGTTTTTTTTAACACGCGACATGCGTTGGGGGACCTAGCGGCTGTGTGGCGCGGTTGTCTATGTTTCGAATGCTATAAACAAAATCAGCCTGCTTTTAGCCGGCCACAGTGGTTGGTCATTGGACGATGCTGACCGTTCGCTTGGCGAAAAGAAACACAGCCAGTGCTGACCTCATGCGCAATCGCACCACAACACCAGGAGGCAAATTGGCGTACCAAAGCTCTGCTACCTTCCAGCGCTGATCTGATCAGCAACAAGATGATAGAGATGATTGAAGAATATCAAGAATAGAGATGAGATCCCAGTCTGTGAGTGGCTGTAATTCATCGACCTTGATATTACCCGCTCGGCTATCGCTTTTGCAGGGAGAGGTAGATCCGGTCCATGCTGGTATTGGCTACCAAACGGTGAACCCGGTTCGCCATCTGCATTGTTCCCTGGATAGTGACTTGCTCCCGCAAAACCTCACTGGCGTTCAGGCAGCCCACATGATGGTTGGTGCTCTATCAGTTCCTATCACCTCCCAGAAAGAGTTTCTTTGTCTTTAGGCCAATGACAAGTGGGGTATCCCTAGCTTAAAAGGCGGCAGATTGCCAGACAACACTCTTGGGGCTCTTTACTTGGCTTACTTGTAGGCGACGGCGTATCCGCGGTCATTCTAATTCCAAGTGCGACTCCCTCGCAGCACACTTATCTTCTATCTCAACCAATGACAGAGGCAGCGTTTGTATAATAGCATACATCAAGGCTGTCCCTATGTACTAGTTCAAAATCAAAACCCAACTCGCTTTAACCGTCTATGCGTCCTTTGTTGCCTCGCGGTTAAATTCCCGTGCACCATTTCTGCAGAGTCCTAGGGTAGCTCTATATACGACCGATTGCTCGATTCTCGACCTGTCACGCTTTCTGCAAGGGAATGTTAGCCAGCCTGCGGTGACAACCCTTCGTCATACCATCATGTTGTTCTTCATGGTTCTGTCGAATCTCATGTGTCTTCTGCTACCAGCTCTCACCTCCGCCCACGTCACCACTTCAGAGGATCCGGTCAACCTCGCAGCTCACCATGTGAAACGCTTGTCGACTCCTTTGAAGAACTTGCTTCACAAGAAAGACGCTATTCTTTTTGCCAGCACCCCGACTGCTTCTAACATACTTGCCCTGAACAGCACAAATGGGGAGGTCGCGGAGACAATACCATTCGAGGAAGAAATCGATATCCCTGGGCTAGGAGACCTCGTCTACTTCCTCGTATGTTGAGCGTTTCCAAACACCAGAAAGTGGCTTTGGGGTTACGACTAATCGTGATGGTACAGGTCAAAGGCGAAATCGACGACGATTACTCGGTCACAGTGGAGTTCTGGGTCCACTACCTTGTCGACAAAAGAATCGGTGTCTTCCACGGCGATCTGATCAAGGGCATCGATATGAAGATCCCAAACAGTATACAAATAATCAACGGAGAAGCCCGGCTATACGTGGTGCAGAGTGGAGTCTACGATGTCCTGATCTTCGAAGCCTACGGCAGCATCCACATACCTGGTGGACCGAATAAGGTCTTCCCCGTTTTCAAGAAGGAGATTAAGCGGTGGGAGGTCGGAAACTTGAAAAGCATTCAGGACGTGCCAAACAATTCGGGAGTACAGACGCCGTCGATTGATGCAGGGGCAGATACATCATTTTCGGTCGAGTAGGGTCAATTAGCATTAGGTGGCATATCGTACCGGCGAAGCTAGGAACGTATAAAGTGCGCGCTGCACGTACTGAAACCACGTGTTCTAGCCACAAACGAAGCATTCCGCAAGGAGGAGCTTATGCAAGTGCCGCCTATGCCTTGCTCGTCAAGATTCTTGCCTATGTGTGAATTTGAGAGACAAATTTCGGCGGATGATGCCTCGATGGGACTTTTGACCTGGAGGTCTTGAGGCATTCTTAGTTTGTAATCAACGGTCACCCAGAAAGTCTAGATTCGACTCACTAAACCTCTCAAGCGCGCTATCCGGGCATGCCGACCCTCTGCCAGTGAACGAACTACTTGTACGCTGGAACTGTCTTGTGTGCACAAGGTCGCCACGATGGCCAGTTGATTCTCGGAGAGTACCTACAACTAGCCTACCATTAGAGTCTATGAGTCTTAGAGAATGGCGTAAGAGTGTCTTTACCTATGGTCCCTCGACGTCATTGGGCGGTGAAATTGCAGCAGCGACTATCTGGAAGTGATCATGAGCAACATCACAGTTATTTTTACAGCATAAGCCCGACACGATATGATTTGGTCTGCACTACCCACTGCTTCTGAGGACCGGTTCAAGCTCTTTCTGTTCTCTCGCGTTACACTCTATATATACAGTTCTGTCTTTTTTCATCCTTATCAGTCTTCTTCCCAGCTCCTGGCCTTGCTTTTTCTCACCGACATATGTCCACCTCGTTCTTTTTCGCTCCTTGTCTCAGTTTGCAAGCCCATTGTTGCCCAGGCCGCCCCCGGCACCCAATGCTTGATCTCTGGCAACCACTTCTCCAGCGGCCGGGACAACGAAGCTGGGGAAGATACAGAAAATTTTAGAAGGAAGACGTGTGTCTCTGGGTAGAACAGAAGGCGCGAGCAGTTGTAGCTTTCTTCGCCGCTTGTATCGGGTAGGTGCCGGTTACGGATGTCTTTACGTACCCCAAGAAATGTCCCATGGATTGTCACCTGGGGTGGAAGATGTCTTGGTCGAACATCAAAATTTATTCTTCATCGTACCGCAAATTGTTTTGGACACTCGTTGAAGGAGTGGGCGCGATTGTACGAAGGGGGCTTTTTTAGATGTGCGGTCGCTTCGGATGCAGCCTTTGACTTCTACGTCCTGCCAATCCATGTGATAGTAAAGTCGGAGTCGGTGCACTGTGGGCGTATCGTTGAACTTGGAGAAAGTTGCGATACTGGTGTCGAGATATTGCTGCCATCGAATAAAGACACCGTGAATAATTCTTTGGGCGGCATAAAAGGCAGTAGAGGAAATCATCCACAATCCCGGTCTGAAGACAATGCATACTTTATGGTGCCAATGCGGGAACCGCCGACGGCTGCGCGTCAAGCAGGGAGTCTTACAGCAACCGTGACGGGACACAATGGAAAACGGAGGCTAAGAAGGAAATCGGTACTCGATAGGTTACGGGAAGATGATGGCCATGGGCGACTCGAAAAGGTCGAGCTGCAAGCCTCCGTGCTCGTTATTGGGCTTGTTGGTGGCTGATTTTCCAAGCAGACCGACTCGTACTGCGTACCGGCTCAGCTCACTCACAACTCATGCTGATAGAATGTTGGTGATCTTTTTGTCTTGTAAGACTAGATTCACAATTTAATGTTGAGACGAGATTGACATTTGATATGTCACTGTCCTGCAAGAATGGATTGTAGAGTAGAGTAATAATTAAGAGTGCAGAGTATAGAGTAGGAGCAGGGGTCAAGAGAACAATGACGCTGTGGCGGATCTGCTGAGCTCAGATCTAGACCTTTTCTGTCATAGCGCGCCAAGCCCCGTATAGCTGTATCGTTCCCCCGCCTCTACCCGGTAAGGTAAAGTAAGCTGACCGCGTTCAAATTTTCCCACTAACGTCTGTTCCTTCCTTACTGTACCTTGTTAATCCTTCACTCCATCCGTACATATTTTTATATCATCTCGTCCGCTTCCTTCATTGAGCTTCATGCAAGGTCCTGAGAGGACGATTTGACAATCACCACATACATCCTCTATCCTGCGAGGCGCAACATCCTCCCCCACTTATCTATCCTTCAGTCGTCATAGATGACGACTGATCTCCCCTTACTATTGTAAGCCCAGTTCAAATTAGCCTTTTCAAGACACACACTTGCCATAGACATATCACGCGCCTATCAAGATGAATGAAGCAGACGTGGACATGCTCCGCGAGGAGCGGGACGCTTCCCCACGCCGCTTCTCCAATTGGGATCCCCACGACAGCTTCTTCCAGCGCTATCACCGCCTCAGCCCCGAAGAAAAGGATAAACTTCATCGGTCCATGCCAGGCGATGACAATGATCGGCCCCCAAGCTCTTCCGCTGCCTCATCCTCGTCCGCCCCCTCAGTCCGCTTGGAAGCAATCCGGACCGCCAATATGAGCAGAACGGCTACCAACCGCATCAACCACCAAGAATCCCATCCACATGCTCTTGATCGCATCGAGACCCATCGAACCCAGCACTCGGGAACTGTGGGTGCCATCAAGTCCCGGAAGTCAAGCCAGAAGGAAATCCCAGCCATGGGAGCTGGTAAGCCGTATCCTCCCATGTTGCCAGAGATGGAAGAGTACGTCGTGGAGTTTGATGGCTTCGATGATCCGAGGCACGCTCAGAATTGGCCATTGAGAAAGAAACTCCTTATCGGTGTCATCCTTGCTTACGATGCACTCGCGGCCACAATGGGGAGCAGCATCTTCTCATCCGGCATTTCAGGAGTCGTAAGCACCTTTCACGTCGGGGAGGAGGTCGGTACCTTGGGAACATCGCTTTTCGTGCTAGGTTACGCGTTTGGCCCTATCATGTGGGCACCGATGTAGGCATCCTCTCATTATCAGCACGAGACTAAGATCTGGTAGGGCTGACTGATCTGCCTTTAGGTCGGAACTCTATGGCCGACGTCTGCCTCTTGTCATAGCGGCTTTCGGCTTCTCCGTGTTCGCTATTGGCGTCGCCGTAGCAAAAGATGTTCAGACAGTCATGATCTGTCGATTCTTCGACGGCTTATTCGGCTCGTGCCCTCTAGCTGTGGTTGCCGCAGCATTCGCGGACATGTTCGACAACAAGACCCGTGGCTTGGCCGTCGCGGTCTTCTCAGCAACCGTCTTCATGGGTCCATTGCTCGCCCCATTCATTGGGGGGTTCATAACCATCTCCTACCTAGGCTGGAGGTGGACCGAGTACATCTCCGCCATCATGGGCTTCTCCGCTTTCGCTCTCATCACCATTTTCCTGCCAGAGACCTACCCACCAATCATTTTGGTAAACAAGGCCCAAGATTTGCGTCGGGCCACCAAGAACTGGGGCATCCACGCCAAGCAAGAGGAAATTGAAGTCGACTTCAAAGAATTGATCACCAAGAACGTCTCACGTCCAATGCGGATCCTTTTTCAAGAGCCTATCGTACTGCTCATCACCCTCTACATGTCCTTCATCTACGGCCTGCTCTACCTTTTCCTAACAGCCTACGCCCTTGTTTTCCAGGGCCAGTACGGTTTTAACGAAGGTGTAGGTGGCCTCTGTTACTTTGGTATGGTTGCCGGAGAAATCATTGCCTTCATCGTCGTAGTGATTATGAATCCCTCGTATGCGCGCAAACTCGAAGCGAACAACAACATCCCCGTACCAGAATGGCGTCTACCTATTTCCATAGTTGGGGGTGTTCTTTTCGCGGGTGGACTCTTCTGGTTCGGATGGACTGGATTCGAAGGCGACAAAATCCCATGGATCGTACCCACACTTTCAGGTCTCTTCACTGGTTTCGGCATCTTCACCATCTTCCTCTCCTTGCTCAACTACATCGTCGACGCCTATCTCATGTTCGCCGCCTCCGCCCTGGCAGCAAACACCTTCCTTCGATCTGGCTTCGGTGCTGTCTTCCCGCTGTTCGCGACCTACATGTTTGACGGAATGGGTATACAGTGGGCTGCGACACTCCTGGGCTGTGTGGCACTGGCGCTAGTCCCACTGCCGATTGTGTTCCTTCTTTACGGTAAGAAGATCAGAGCCAAGAGCCACTTTGCACCAGCGCCGGATCTTCAGCAGGATAAAAGGAGAGACGAGGAGGCGCGTGGTGTTCCTGACAGCGATGGTAGCGTGCCAAGTGAGGAGGCTGAGAAGAAAGATGCCTAGACGGGGGCATTGCAGAGACAATTGGATACACAACATCCGGGGACGTGACGTACGGAGAGGTTCATTGTTCACTTTTCCACATGGGGGCAAACTGGCGCTCTTCTGACTTTTCAATTGTTTGGGGTTGGTACCTGCGACTCCAGGTTCCACAGTCTGCGCAGCTAGCACGGAGAGTAAAATGCAAGTATGCAGTTCTAATGCTCTGAGCTTCACAAACGCGAGTACATGCTTCGTTCATCTCCACTAATACCGCCTTCTATTTTCTTCTCGCATATACTCGACACTAGCCTCCATCAATCCCTCCCTAGCACCCATACTGAATCTGCAACCCCATCGCCCCATCCTGCGCATACGTCACCGTCCCATCGTCCGCAGGCGTATTCCCATTCGGATCCGCAATACTAAACCTCAAATTGATCGTCGGCGTGCAAGTCACGGAGTTGATATAAATGACCGACGACGCGGATCCACTCGCCGGGAAAGCGAACGTCCCAATCAAACTCCCAGTCTGCGCGGCGATATTATCCCACGTCGGCGCCTCACTCATGACGCCATTGACCGTCTCCGTAGGCAGATCGCCCGTGATTGCAAAAACATCAATCTTCGTATTCCCTATCGTCGTGGCGCCCACGGTCCCATCGAACGCGAACTGGACCGCGTACGCCCCCCTCCCCGCGGGCGGGCACGGCACGTCCTTGAACGAGGCGACGAGGTCCTGCTTCCCGTCGTCGTTGGCGTATTCGGCGACGAAGAAGCTGAAGGTGGTTTGCTGGCCCGGCGGGGCGGAGGGGTTGAAGAAGGGGCCACGGTCACCGGTGTTGTTGCGCAGGACGGCGGGGCCCTGGGAGATCTGGTAGAAGTTTGAGGGAGGGAGGACGGTGCCGCAGGTGCGGGGGGTGAGGGAGGAGGGGAGGGCGAGGGCGAGAGAGAGGAGGGGGAGGAGGCTGAGGGCTTGGTTGGCGGTGGTGAGGAGATGCATTGTGTGGTGATGGTGCTGAGTCTGGGTTGGTAATGCGCTTTGATTTAGATCCCTTCGGTAGATAGAGGCAATGTCTTTCTCTTTGCAAGATGTTGATTTTATTGGGAGACTGAGACAGCAATCGGTACGCTTCCCGTGGGGTAAACATCCGCTTTATAGAAATTTCTCACCGCCCAACACACAACAACAGATGCTTTGGCATCACGTGAAAGAACACGGAGTAAGCTGCATGATCTTGCATATACGGGGTCCCGAATGGGACGCTGATAGGCAGGTTCCCGAAGGAGTAAGCGAAGATCCTATCCCGGCACCAGGGGGCAACGGGGCGGGGCAACGTGGGGGGCCTATCATCATTCGCTACTTTACAACAAGAAATACCGGTCCTTTGGCAACGACTATTTACCTCAGCCTCGCGTGAATCGATTGCAGTGTTGTTGCTAAAATTGTGAGAGTACCACTCTTACCTATTAGCAAGCGTTCGTATTCCCGCCGGCAGTGTCAAGCGTGTGTAAGACTTAAGCCCGAAAGGCTAGAGCGGGCTTTGCCAACGGGACACCATCAAAAATCTACCGACCCCGCCCGCCACTTCGTGTTGCTAACCACTGGACTGATTACCATTTATAGGACAGTCTCCCAGAGACCTTGGAGTTACTTCATCCATCTGTACTGAATACTTTGAGCAAACTTATCACGCGTAATGACGAGAAGCTTGCTCCATTCCTGCATGCTTGAATGTTCTACCCCCCATCGATCATCAGTACTCTCCCTTCAGGACATCAAAAGCGCGGCTCGAGCCAGCTCGCCCCTTCCCAAAGCCATTCACAAAGTTCCGCGAAGCTGGCGTTGTCAGCAAACTGTAAGCTAATCTTGAACTCTTGACAGCGGACCTGATAAAGTTAGGAGGATGTGTCCCTGTCTCGAGAATGCGCACAGACTGAAGGGCAGAACACCAATTTTCTCGAGTCGATTCCAGATGATGCAGCTGGTTGTATTCAAGCAACATGCCATGGAAAACGCTGCGGTGAAAGCTTGAAAGCGCTGCGTCGAAGTGACTGAAGACTGCGAGAAAGTAAACCTCGTCATCTCGCGCGACGGCCAATTTCACCCCGCTCTCCCATACTCAGACTGCGAGCGTCGCGATCGATGCACCGTCGACCGAAGTCGGAGGGGGATCGTGGACTGAGACCCTCGTACCACCGATCCAAAAGCCTGACGACGGACGAGAAGAGTTCAACGAGCGGTCGGCAGATTTTGCTCGCGAGTCAGTAGAAGGTTTCCGCATATACATTCGTTGGAAAAAAAACAACACTTCTCCTTACAGCGCACAACTGTCACGGCTAAGACGTCTCCCTGAAATTAAGACTCTAGTGTCCTTGGTTTTGGCCATAAAGGTTTGTCCACGACTGGAGCGGGCTATCAAGCTCATCGACATGTAAGTCTTGATCGGCCGAGCAGCACCGAGTCTGTGCACATTTCTTGAAGTCACCTCTTGGTCCTGATGCCGGAGAGTATTGGGGCTTGATAATGTGACTATAATTATAATTCTCGCTTGATGCTATGTACAATTATTCGACTAACTAGTGCACACTTTGGCTGCTATTACTTAGTATATCGAACGGCCGTGATTCGTAATCGTGCTAACGATCCTGCATTGGCGGCCGTGCTTCGCGTCCCACGCCATCTGCGAGCCATCTCCTCATCCGTCACTACGACGACTGTGATCCCGTGTCCCTCGCTTGCAGCTCCATCTCGTTCTTCAGATCCCCCTTCCTACTCCCATGCGCATCCGACTTCACCCACACCCGTTCCATATACTGCGGCGTCTGATCCCGGCCCTGATGCGCCTGCACGCTGTACGAAAACGTCGGGTCATTCTGCTCCGCCTCCGGCGCCACAGATGAGCGGCCAAGCAGCGTGTCATCCGAAGGTGTCTTGCTGGGTCGCGGCCACACGCGCTCAAAGGCTTCCGGGTCCCCATAGCGGCCGTGTCCTATCGACTGGGGTCCGATGGCGACGTGTTTCCAGTGGTTGGGTCGGAGCCATTTGAAGAATGGGCCGAGCGTTGGCATGCAGGCGGCGATTAGGGCGAAGTAGTGCTCGATGCAGCTATGGGAATGGTTAGCAGTGCCTCTGCAAGGCAAGGTGAGGAAGACCACTCACAACAAGGTCACGACGCGGTATTGGGCGAAGGTGGCATCGGTCGTTCCTCGTGATTGGACGGCGAAAGCTACCCGGATTGCACAGGCTATCGAGGCACTGGCATACGAGTTAATGACGAAGCCCGGGGCATTGCTCCAAGCGTGGCTGGGACTCACATCAAACCAGCTAAGAAGACGAACAGCAAGTATGTCCTCTGTGCCCACGAGATGCGCAGCTTCACCACCATGGGGATGGGAAAGCCGAGGATGATGGCATCGGCAACGAGATCAAGGCCTCCGATCGCGAAGGTAAGCTTGCCGTAGGCGAAACAGTTCATTGTCACCGTGAGGTCCCATTGTCGGTTCCGGACGTTGCAGAGGCCGATGACGGTGGAGAAGGCGACCCAATAGTAGATGGTGCAGTAGACCATGAGGGCGTAGATAATGTATCGCAGCTTCGCTTGCAGCTGGAAAACTCGAAGGTAGAAGAGGAGGATGGATATCTTGACAAAGTAGTAGGATGCTGGGCAGGCGGCAAAGGTGGCCATGATCCACTGAATAGCGCCGTCAGCTTCTTAAGACTTGGTAGGACATCTAGATTGATGCACTGACCCAGAGGTACTGAGGAGTGTACGTTTTCATGGGCACATCCCATATATGCTTTCCTAGTCCAAAGTGCGTGGCTGAAAAGTGAATATCAGTATCGTTTTTCTGGATTAAGGGATTGTCACTGACTCTCGATCACGAAAGAGCCGAAAATCGCCGTCCCGACCTAATTCAACTCATCAACTTTGTGGTCCCAATTGCTCAAAGTCTCTACATACAAAGGCCATAATGATGGTATCTTCGGTACGTTAGCCGATTTATACATATCAATGAAACCGGTCACGAAAAGAGCACATACAATCATCCCAGCCGAGCCGCCAATCCGTCAAAAGCGTCCGGGAGACAATGCGCGCGCCCACAACCACTGTTGACACGACAAGGAGAATGACATTGCAAGCGATCAAGTTCGGCGCACGATTGATCGGGTCGATGAAGTTGGAATGGACACCTGGTGGTGGAGGGCCGGCAGGCACCGTTGGCAATATCTTTCCATCCATCTTGGAGATGAAGTACAGACGATGCTCGTGGACGGAGATTTGGAGTTCGTCAGGAAGGGGGGGAAGTCGGAAGAAATAATGCGGGGATAGGGCAACATTTTAGCTTGCGAGGCTGCAAGCCAGGGCGCGAGAGACATGAGGAGAAACCTGGGGTTAAGATTATGCTCATTGAAACCTTTTCCCCGAATGGAGCGGTAAAGCGCGATGTATGCAAGTCGGCCGTTGGTTAGTGGGACCGGAATGTTTCATATGCGACCGGAATCAGGAAAATGCTACATCGGTTAGGTATATATGATGATGGTGGTGGCCTGTGGGTCTTGGATTTCAGGAACCATCATGAAATGGCTTGCTGCTAGCTCCAATGTGGTCAAATGGCGATTCGAAATGGAAGGTCGAAGTATAATTTTCATGTAGTAAAGTAGAATCATGGGACGATGCGAGCGGGAAGAACAGTAGTTGATGATATACAGCCGCCATTGGCGCGGGTGAATACTCTAGGGCTATCCAGTGTCCCGTTGGCTTGGGCTATTTCGCGGAAAAGAAGGCACAGGCAGCGGGAAGATGCATTTACTTTTTCGCTATTTTTCCATTCTTTCTTTTCCCCACTCTGCCAATCATGTTCAAGCAAAGACTGGAAGTCTCCGTAACATCCGCGCGGACACCATTAAATCAACCTTACTTCCAATTAATTATCTCATCATTATGTTGACGGGAGATTAAAGTACAACGATAAATGATCCAATCAATAATGTTATAATTTCCCATGGTAAGATGCCGAAAGACCCTGAATCACGCTTGGCCAGTCAACCTCTCCTCGCCTTTTCCCATTTCGCGCGCGAGTGAATGGCAATGGTGTCGCCAGTCCCGAAAAGAAATTCCACGTGTTTGCTGTCGCTGGGTTTACCAGCCAGGGACCCAGTTATATTGTGTTATGACCCCTGAAACTTGCTCGACTATTGACATGATCTGAGGGGCTGTTGAACTTATCCGCCACCTCCGCCTGCTAAGGGCTAGGGGTTACCGTCACCACCGTCATTGCGGGCGCTTTGACAATATGCATGCTTCGAGCCAAGATCCTGTCATATCCTACCTAGCATCGGATCTAGCACGCGAAATCCTTTGTTTTTTTCAATTTTAAGTTTTTGTTTTAAATTTTTTTTTTTTTTTTTTTTTTTTTTTTTTTTTTTTTTTTTTTAATTTTTTTTTTTATTTTTTTTTTTATTATTTTTTTTTATTGTTTTTATTTTTTTTATGTTTATAGTTTTTTTTTTTTTTTTATTGTTTTTGGGTTTGGGTTTGGGTTTTTTTTTTTTTTTTTTTGTGGTTATGGGTTTTGGGTTTTAACGGTCCCCCCTCCCCCCCCCCCCCCCTTTTGTCTTTACTTGGTTTGTTTGGGTTTTCTTTTCCTTCCCTTTGGCTCTAATAAAAAAATTAAATATATAAAAAAAAAAATTTTAATTTAAATTATTTATTTTTTTTTTTTTTAAAATTTTTTCTAAAAACTTTATTTCTTTCATTTTTTTTTTTTTTTTTTTCTCTCCCACCCTTTTTCCCTTCCCCCCCCCTCCCCCCCCCCCCCCACAACCCCATTCTCCCCTACATTTTCTCCCTCCCAGTCCCTACACGTTCACGGTTTTTTTTTTCGCTGCCCCTTTTTTATTCCCCTTGGATATCGCCGTGTCTTCCCCCCTTTTTCGGGGGGGGGGCTCCCTTCAATAACTAACCAAAAAGAGGGGGGGGAGGAGGGGCAAGAAAGAAGTAATAAATAAGACCCCAACAAACCCAACAACACACACCCAAACCCCCAACCCCCCCCCAAAACCCAAACAAGGGAAAGAGGAAAGAAAAAAGTAAAAATAGGAAAAGGGGGGGAGGAGGAGGGGAAGAGGGAAAGGGGGGGGGGGGAATAGGGGCTCGGGCACTATTTACATTTTTTCACTCCCCCCAATCCACCCCACTCCCCATACGTGTGTGGATGGTTCCCTCCCCCCCCCCCTCACCACATTTTTTTTTTTCCCCTCCCCCCCCCCCCCCCTCCCTTTCTTTTTCCTCCCCCCCCCCCCCTTCTTCTTTTTTGGGGGGGGGGGGGGGGGGGGGGGGAAGGGGGGGGGGGGGGGTTATGGGATGGGGGGGGGGTTGTTGTTTTTTTCAAATCTAAAAAGTTTTTTTCCCTTTTTTTTCCCCCCGGTCCCCCCCTAAAAGCACGATTTAGCACGATTTAGTTTATTAAGTAGACTTTATCTATATCTAACTCTTTTCGCTAATTTAATAATTAAATATAGTAAACTTCGCGTTTAGTAAGTTAAGATAGTATTTATTTAAGTTAACTAGATTTTAAAGTAATTATAAGCTATTAATTTAATAGTATATATCTAAAAATTCGAGAAATTATATATAAGATAGATTTTCTAGATTATTCGAGTTAAATAATATTATTAATAATAATAATATTTATTAAAAGTTTAATTCGACTAATTAAATATATATTAAAAAGATTTTCGAGATTATTTAAGTTAGATAGTATTATTAATTATAATAATATTTATAAAAATTCTAGATTAGCTAGTCTCGCTAGTAATATTAATATTTATAGCGTATTTAAATTAAATAATATCGCCGATTATAACGACGTCTCTAGAGTATTTAATTCGAATTAAACTCGATATCTCTAGATATCTAATAGAAGTTATTAATTTAAGATTTATCGCGATATCTTATCGTAATATTAATAATATTTATAATCTCTAAAATATAGGTTTTTAAATAATTAAAAATTAAGGCGCTATAGCGATATTTAATTCTTTATTAATTCTTATTTAATTCGTCTAATAAATAAAGAGACTAATTCTCTCTATTCTATTTATTACGTTATATATTCTTTATATTTTTTCTCTTTATCTAATATAATTTTATTAATTTATAGATACTTATTTTTTTTATAAATTATCTTTTTTTTATTCGCTATAGTAAAGCTATAGATAGTATATTAAAGTTTAGCCTTTTTTATTTATTCTCTCTACTTATTAAGATACGAAGTATTTATACTTTAAGCTTAGAGAGATTCGAGTTTTAATTATTATTTATTAAATCGGTTTCTTTTTATTTAGTTATTTTATATATTAATTATTTCTTAATAACCCACGAGATTCTCTCGTTATTTTTAAATAAATTTAAATCTAATCTTTTAAGTAGTTTAATATTAGCGAATCTTAATATAACTTCTCTTAAGACGCTTACGAAGCTCGATTTCTTAATAATATTATTTAGCGAATTCTTATATAAGTTATTTAATTTAAAAGGTCTTTATATCTTTTTTATTAATCTAAGATATATCTCTAGAATACGCTATCGTAATATATAGTATATAATAAGTCTTTTCTATTATCTTATATCTCTCTAAAACTTCTTAATATACTTATATATTTTTAAGAAATATTATAATTATATAAGTAGTAGAATAATAGTAAAGAGCTTATCTTCGACTTTCTTACTATTCTATTTTTTAATATAAAAATATTTAGAACTATAGTTCTTTAGATTATAATAAAAGGCGGTTATTATAAGAATTATAATATTATTAAATAAGAATAATTAAAGATACTTACTTCTTTATCTAAATTCGAGAGATACTCTCTTACTATAAAAGAAAATTTTATATAACGATATAACTATTAATTAGAATAAGAAGTATTTTTTATTCTAGAGACTATTAGCTAGAAAAGTTAATTAATCTAAATTTCATAAAATATATTATATTCTATCTATTTTATAGATCTTAATATATAAATTAAAGATTAATTAATAAATCGCTAATTATCGCCTTTATATCTTTAAATAACGACGTTATATAAGCCTTAAGATAAGATTAAACGATATCTCGAATTTTCTTTATTAGAATCGAACGAAAATCGCCTATATAGTTAAAAAGTTATATTCTTATTAGAAAGAGTCTAAAGTATTAATAATAATAATTAATTAGAGATATTAATATCTTTCTCGCCTCGAAACTTATAAATTAATTATTAATACTTTATATAAATCGAGTATTCTTATAAAGTTATTATCTTTAATCTCTTTATATTCTAATTATTATTTAACTAAGCGTATTAATATAATACTTTAATTAAAAATTTAGCTTTTAAAGATTTAGATATTTAAAATCTTCGCTAATTATAATTATTATAAGTAAGATAATTCTTATTATCTCGAATATATTAAGATACTCTTTCTTAATATTATAATCGTATTTTTCTCGCTATATTAAATTATTCTAAAGCGCGATATAACGATTATCTTTATTTAAGCTATCTTATAAAGTATAATTTATATATCTTTCTTTATTCTAATCTATTAACGATATATAATTTAATATTATTAAAAATATTAACGAAGCTTTAAATTTCTTTATCTTATTTAATAGACGTATCGATAAGAGGTTTAAACGAGCTATATACTAATAACGCGGCTTCGATATAATAACGTCTAATAACTTTATTTAACGTAATACTTTTTAATATCGAATTATCTATAGCGATTTAGTTATTATTCTACTATATTTAGAATATATACTTATTCTTATATCGAAGCCTTATACGAAGTACTCTAACTTCGTTATTATAAAGGCGGTTTTTCTCGATAAATTATTTTCTATCTCGATTTAATATATATTTATTAATTTAGATATTTAATCGTATAATATATTCTTATTTCATCTTATTAATTTTAATTTTTCGTCGTTAATAAGGATTATTTTAAATTCTATAATTTATATTAGCTAGTTTATATCGATATTACTTAATTCTAGAACTAATTAACTAATAATTAATATTACTATCTTTTATTCTAGATTTAATAATTTTAATACTTAATCGAGGTTCGAATAAGAGCTTTTTTATCGCTTTCTATTAAGGTATTAATTCGATAGAAGATATAGATTAAATAAGAATATATTAAGTTTATAATCTTCGCCTTTATCTTCGATTTTAGAAAGAGAATCTTTT